TGCGCCCACCCTCGGGGGCGTCGGGAGAGCGGGGACACGGCCCTGGCAGCACCGCGGGAATGGCGACAGGGGCGATGGGCGCCTGCCAAGTGTCCACCTGGAGATACCGGAGCCTTCCTCCCCCTCCTCCTCCTCCCCAGGGAAGGTGTAATTCCACCCTTGTCGCTCCTGGACGCGCTCCCGGGGGTGCAGGATCACACCCCGGCCGTGGGGGTGAGGCCAGCCCTGAGCTCGGGCTATTTGGTCTGCATCCCCCCCGCTCAGGGCCCCCCATCTCCCAGCTCGGTGGGGCAGCGTCCCCCACCCGCCCCACAGCGATTTTGGGGCTGTCCCTGGCTCATTCCGGGAAAGCAGAGCTGGGCTGGGCAAAGGGGGGGACAGCCCTGCACCCCAACTTTTCTTGCACCTCCCCAGCTTAGCCCCGGGGTGAACGCGGGCTGAGCCCCCTTATTCTGGGGTAATTAATGCCATCCCATGCAGGGAAATTCAATTAACGGGCAGCTCCCTAATTGCTGCATCCCCGGGACGGTGCGTCCCAGCCCGCAGCACCCACAGGTGCCCCTGGCTCCCCCACCCCACTTGGGATGAGGTCTCAATATCCCCCCGCCCTGCGCTAATCCCGAGCCCAAACTGCCAACCCCAYAGCKCCCTCCGTGCCCCACAGTCACCCCYCGGTCACCCCAAAGCCACCACCCGCTTCCCACGCCGGGATGTGCCAACCCAGCTGCCGCCTTCGCCCCCGGCCCCTTGCGCAACGGGCGCGGAGCGGATACGGGGTGCGGGATTCAGGGTGAAGGATCCGGGGTGTGGAACCCAGGGTGTGGGATGGGGAGTGTGGGATCTGGGGTGTGGGATATGGGGTGCAGGATCGGGGTGTGGGATGCGGAGGGATCCGGGGTGTGGGATGTGGAGTGTGGGATCTGGGACACAGGATTGGGGTGTGGGATGTGGAGTGTGGGATCCGGGGTGTGGGATGTGGAGTGCAGGATTTGGGGTGCAAGATCCGGGGTGTGGGATGTGGAGTGTGGGATTTGGGGTGCAGGATCCGGGGTGGGATCTGGAGTGTGGGATATGGGGTGTGGGATTTGGGGTGTGGGATCTGGGGTACAGAACTGGAGTGTGGGATGTGGGGCGTGGAATATGGGGTGTGGGATTTGTAATGTGGGATCTGGTGTGCAAGATTGGGGTATGGGATGTGGAGTGAGGGATCCGGGGTGTGGGACTGGAGTGAGGGATCCGGGGTGTGGGATCTGGGGTGTGGGATGTGGAGTGTGGGATCCGGGGTGTGGGATGTGGAGTGTGGGATTTGGAGTGTGGGATCTGGGGCACAGGATTGGGGTGTGGGATGTGGAGGGATGCGGGGTGTGGGATGTGGAGTGTGGGATTTGGGGTGTAGGATCCGGGGTGTGGGATGTGGAGTGTGGGATGTGGAGGGATCCGGGGCGTGGGATGTGGAGTGTGGGATTTGGGGTGCAGGATCCGGGGTGTGGGATGTGGAGTGTGGGATTTGGGGTGCAGGATCCGGGGTGTGGGATCTGGGGTGTGGAATTTGGAGTGTGGGATGCAAGGTGTGGGATGTGGAGTGCGGGATTTGGGGTGCAGGATTGGGGTGTGGGATATGGAGGGATCCGGGGTGTGGGATGTGGAGTGTGGGATATGGGGTGTGGGATTTGTAGTGTGGGATCCGGTGGGCAGGGTTGGGGTGTGGGATGTGGACTGAGGGATCTGGGGTGTGGGATCTGTGGTGTGGGACTGGGGTTTTGCATGTGGAGTGTGGGATGTGGAGTGTGGGATATGGGATGTGGGATCTGTAGTGTGGCATTTGGAGTGTGGGATGCAGGGTGTGGGATGTGGAGTGTGGGATCCAGGGTGTGGGATTTTGATGTGTGGGATTTGGGTGTGGGATTTGATGTGTGGGATCTGGAGTGGGATATGGGGTGCAGGACTGGGGTGTGGGATCTGTAGTGTGAGATCTGGAGTCCAGGATCCAGGGTGAAGAAGGTGGAGTGTAGAATCTGGGGTGCAGGATTGGGGTTTTGCATGTGGGATGTGGGATATGGAGTGTGGGGTGTGGAGTGTGGGATATGGGTGCAGGATTGGGGTATGGGATCTGTAGTGTGGGATCCGGGGTCCAGGATCCAGGGTGCGGGATGTGGGGTATTGGATCCAGGGTGTTGGATGCTGGGTGTGGGATCTGGAGTTTGGGATATGGGATCCAGGGTGCACAATCTGGGCTGTGGGCTCCAGAGTTTGGGTTCCGGGGTGCAGGATCCAGAGTGCGGAATCTGGGGTTTGGTATCCAAAGTATGGGATCCGGGATGTGASATCTGTGCACTAATGGGGCCAGGARGGCACAGGGACACCACGGGGGGATCATAAGACATTTATTGAAAAAAAGGGAGAGGTGGCAGAGGGAAGTTGGACCCTTTGGGGGGCTCGGACCTGGCACTGCCCCAGGCTGGGAGGGGTTTGGTGTTCCCGTCTGGGACAATATTCACAAATAAATACTGGGGAGGGGGGCGTGGAGCAGGGCTGGGGACTGCGGGAACCGACAGCAACCCGAACCCGAGGCAGCTGAAAGCAGCCCAAAGGCCAGGGAGGGGCCGCGTTACCCCCCGCCGCACCCCGGCATCTCGCCAGGCCCCGGGCGCTTCGTCCGCAGCAGAGCGGGGCCAGAACGGGAGATTCTCCCGTCCCCGGAGAGACCCCGCCCTGCAGAGGGGAGGAAAAATTGTGTGCGCGTCCCCCCCAAAAAAAAAAGGGGTCGCGCTGATGAACCCCCGTGGGAAGGTGCAGCCCCCTCCCCGTGTTTGGGGGATGAGCGGAGGGGGCTGAGGGGACGCGGGGTGGGTGAGGGGTGGGGGATTTGGGGTCGCCGG